TTCACTCCCTATGTAATCACAATTGTACGGTGTAGATCAAACATGATGGACGACCCAGATCAAAAGCAGATGGATATAAATAACCCTAATTTACACCAAACCTCTCGCCGGATAAGAAGACCCGGCCACCGAGAAGGAGACCGCCGCCACCTGCGCTGCACCGGAACCCTTTCTGATCGCCAAAAAGGTAAAAACTTCCCCTTTTGCTCAGAATTTAATTTTAAACACACACATGGCCAAATTGAAGCATAAGGACCAACCAATGGGCCGAAAAACATGGGTAAAGCCTGGTGCCACCGCCGCGGAAAATTTCACAAAATGCCTCCGATGAGGCCTTTTTTGATTTTCGTTATGTGTAATTTTTTCACTGTTGTAATCACTGTGTCATTCTCTACAAGTTGATCGAAGCAAAACACTCAACCGCAACGTGAGCCGGAGGACCCGCTGCACCAGAGAGCTCCGCTGCTTGTGAGTTTCGATTTTTTGTATTTTTTCGGCCAATCGAGGCCCTTTAACATATTTTCTCATAGAGATCAATGCCGAATTGGCCAAATTCGGCCAAAAATAACCAACCCAAGGTGGATCACTGCCGCGGGCAACAACACTGTTGCCAAAGCACGGCAAAGTCGCCGTGCCAGAATTCTGAAATTAGCCAAGTGGGCCCTGGGATTAATTTTGAGTTTGTTTGGGACATTTGTAAGTACTATTAGTGCGTTTTAATTCCCAAAAAAAAAAATTCAGGGAACTCAAAAATTGTCCGTAGGTGCAGTCGAATAGTTTAGCTTTTCGAGCACCAAATCGAGTAAGGATCCCTCATCCAATTCTCTATCATAGAATTGAAGTTTAAATAAATAATAATACGATATTTTGTGTAAATTTAGAGAATATGCATAATTAATTATAGATTGCTAATGAAACCAGAACTGGAAATTATCTACTGTTGTTTGTTGATTGTTTTTACAGTTTATATGCATGATGGTATCTTATTCATTTGTTTTATGGCTTTAAATGCATGTATGATTTATTCTATATGCTTACTGTCGAATTGAAAAAAAATAATGTTAAACGGTAAAAATTGTGTGATGAAATGAATAGATGAAAAGACAGTCTTACTGGATATTCTAGGAGATGGTGAACGGACTGAAGACATAGAGAATCCTACCGTGAATGTTGTCTCATATCGCATGGAGTATGAAGACTTGATAATTTGGCGCTCATACCGAATGAGGTATGAGAACGGTCCGCTTCACCCTCATACCGAACGGGGTATTGAGGTTTGGTAAATTGGCGCTCATATCGGACGGGGTATGGGGACGGCCCGTAATTGAGAATGTTAAGTGCATGGGTTCACCTGTAGCGTGGACATTCCTATGAACCCCTATAGATACCAGCAGACTAGTAAAAAGAGTGACAGTTATTGTTTGATTTATTGATGATGGATATATATTTATAATATGTGCTATGATTGCTGATTATATTTGGCATCATGATCTATATAATCTTATTATCTGTATAGATTATTTTTATGAACTCCACTACGGTAAATGATTTTATTTATAAAAAATGATCTTGGCTAAATTAAGAGTTACATTAGTTTTTTGATTTTATACCAACCTTTACTTTTGTGTCGGTGATATAGTGTGATATCCTTATTGAGTTAGTGTAGCTCATCCCTTATTTAATCATTTCAGATCAAGAGGACCAGGTTCTATAGCCTGATCTATAACGACACTAAAGTTAATTATATATTTCTAATTAACATCCCTTACACAATAACCAATAACGTATTTAACGTATGAAAGAATAAACTAACTAAGGTAAATACTAGTAATGAATGCTATAAATAAAACTATGAAATCCTTAGACATCTACTCGCTGTCTTCCTGCGGGACGGGCTCGGGAACCAAATTCTCCTGATATGAAATGGTTAAATAAGGAATGAGTTACACTAGCCCAGTAAAGACATCACACTATCTCACTGTCACAGAAGTAAAGGTTGGTAGAAAACAAAAACGACCAATGGAGCATAATTCATGATAAATTCATTTATCAATAATAAAATCCTTTACAGTCCACTTACCTCGGTGAGCTTCATGAAAACAACATAAGAAAATAATAACATTATAATATCATGAAATCATACACACTTTATAACATAACACATATCATACATTTGCATTTCAATCATCAGATAACAGATTTTTCTCTTTTATCAGCCTACTAGTATCCATGGGGATCCATAGGGGTCCCCGCTACACGTGAACTATTCACATTAATAACTTGATTCAGGCCGTCCCCATACCTCGTCCGGTATGGGTGCCAAAAACTATAAACCTCAATATCCCGTCCGGAATGAGGGTGAAACGGGTCGTCCCCATACCCTATCTGGTATGAGCTCCAAAATACATAAGGTCTCCATACCCCGTCCGATATGAGAGACCACGTTCCCGATAGGGTTCCCTATGGACCCGGTTCGTCCACTATCTCCCAGGATATTTAGTTAGGCTGTCAACATCATCCATTTATCAATTCACATACCTTTTTTTATTTTTTTTATCTCAATTATCCAATCAAATATAAATACGT